GAGGCTGCCCTGTGTGGGGCTTTACTCAGGCTCGTGCTGTGTGCTGCCAGTGGTTTGCAGTCCTGAGGTGCATCCAGCGGAAAGGAATTGGGCATCCCTAAGGTGACAAGGTGCCAGAGCCCCAGTGTGGCGCTGCAGGGAGGAGAAGGGCTGTGGCCTTGCAGCATGGTGGGTACATCAGCTGGGGGCTGCAGGGTGCACTGACGAGTCCCTGCTCTCTGCAGGCCGATGTGTTTGCATACGGCATCATCCTGTGTGAGACCATCGCTCGTGTGCCAGCTGACCCCGACTACCTGCCCCGCACTGAGGTGACTCTGGGATGGGAACGGGGAGTTGTGGGCAGCAGCACTGGGGCTGGGGCCATTTCATCAAACAAGGGGGGGCCATTCTGTATGGGGCAGAGACCCATGTGCAGAACTGGTCCCACATCTCAGGGCTAGGGTGCTGTGTTCCACTTGCTGCCCAGGGAGGGATGGTCTCTGCTGGTAACCTCAGAACCCACAGTGAGCCTGGAAAGGAGAAAAGGGCAGTTACATTAAGGCAGAGGGCAGAAGTGGTATGTGTGTCATAATATCCCCCAACCTTAGCCCAATTTGGGGTGACATCAGAGTCCTCCCCTGCTGTGTCCCTGCTGGGGTGCTTCCAGATCCACAGTCCTGTGTGACAGTGCAGGGGGTAGGGGGCCAGCCCATGTTGGATCCCCTGGGCCTTGTGGTGCCCTAGGAGACCCAGCCTTACTCTTCTTCCTTTCCCTGGTGCAGGATTTTGGTCTGGACATCACCACTTTCCGCACCATGGTGGGAATTGACTGCCCAGCGGCCTTCCTCCAGCTGGCTTTTCACTGCTGCAGTGTGAGACTCCCACCTCCGCTGGCTGCCCTTCCCAGCCAGGGCAGGCGGGCAGGACAGGCTGCCTGGCCTGCTCACAGGGCGAGCAGGGAGCTGCCTCTGCTCTGCAGGGCTCCCTGGGGTGCTTGAGGAGGCACAGCCCTGACGGGGAATCCCTGCTGCCCACAGATGGAGCCCACCTCCCGCCCCTCATTCCTGGAAATCACGCAGTGCCTGGAGAGCATCCTGCAGCACCAGCTGGGCGCCGAGGGTGCCAGGACCCCCCTGTTTGGCATCGGGGAGAGTCTGCCTGCATCTGGAGCTGCAGCCACACTCACTGGTACGTGGGCGCCTCGGGCACAGGCTGTAGCAGGGTGGAAAGGTGGGGGAGTGTGGGGTTTCCCATCCCACCCCATCAGCTGTAGGGGAGGAGACAGGGGTGTGTGAGGTCTGTGGGATAGAGCTGGTCCCTGTTCCTCCCTTGGGGTGCACCCCTACCTTGTTGGGTGCTCGACACCCCATAGCACCCCACAGGGGCAGCTGCTGGCTGCTGGTGACACTCTCCTGTGCCCATGCCCAGGGGTGGCCAGGAGGTCAGGCAGCCACACCGAGCAGTCGCCCCTGCGTGAGCTGGGGACACAGCACCTGCAGCCAGACCAGCGCCTGTCCCGCAGCCAGTCTGACATGTTCCCTTCCAAGTCACCCACCCTGCTGCAGCCACTGGAGCCTTACAGCGGGGCCAGGTCCAAGGAGACATCCCCCCGTGTCAACCCCTTCTCCCAGCGTGAGGACCTGAAGGGGGGGAAGATCAAGCTCTTTGACACGCCGAGCAAGTCGGTCATCTCGCTCACCTTCGACCTGCCACCCCCCGCCCCGCTGCAGCTCAGCAACCCCGTGACGCCCGAGCCCGCCGTGGAGGTGCAGTGCGACTTCTCAGTGCCCGCCAGCAGCCCCCGCAAGTGCCACTCTCTGCCCTCCTCTCCCGAGCTGCCCCACCGGGGGGGCCTGGAGCTGGCTATGGGGTCCTCTCATCCCACTGACGACCCCCAGTCCCCCGCCCTCCTTCGTCCCCCAGTGTGGGGAGGAGCCCCCAGCGCCAGCTCCAAGGCAGAGGAGCAGATGGACTGTGGCCCAGACAGCTCCAAGCGGCCGCAGCCCGGCCCGCTGCCCCTCAACAGCAACTTCATCTGCACCTCATCCTCGGGCACACGGGCCTGGCAGCCAGACGTGCGGGCCCCCAACGGGCTCCTCATCAACAACAACCACATGATGGTCAGCAAACCTCTGGCCTGGGGCAGCGGGCTGGAGCACGGCTCCTCTGAGCTCAGTATCTCCTGCGCAGCAGCGCTGGAGCGGACGGAGCGCTCAGCCATGCTGCCTGGGCACAGCTCCAGTGCCATGCTGGAGCAGGATGAAGTGCTACCCTGCCCTGGCTGCTGCCTCAGTCCCTTCAGCTTTGCCTCCATCTGCCACCGGCCAGCGCCCAGCCCGCCCCGCTACCAGAACCTCAACTGCGAGGCCAAAAGCCTCATCTGCCACGACCGGGGCCAACACCAGAAAGCCCCGGGGCCAGTGCTGGCTGAGCCCAGCCTGAAGCTGCCGGAGGCACAGTCCTAGTGATGGGGACCTTGGGGAGTGGGGCTGAGTCCAGCTGCCCCTTGCACCCCTCTGCAGCCACAGCACTGGGCAGTGCAGGAGCCTGGCACATCCCCACAGTCTGTCATCACTTGGCACGTGGTGGCCACCAGTGGCCGTGGTGCCAAGTGCTGTGGCTGCCGCGGCGCTGCCCAGGCACTCAGGCACCCACCCCACCAGGATCAGCCTTGGGGATCTGCAGGGAACCCTGGAGGTGGGCTGGGTCTCTGCTGGGGACCAAAGTGCAATAACACTGCTGCCCTGAGCACTGCCCCGAGCGGCAGGGCTGGTCCCCCGCGGGGGCCACGGGGCTCAAGCCCTGGATCCAGGACCCCCTTTCCCCAAGGGCTCACATTCCTGCAGGCTCTTGCAGAGGGGTTTACAATGAACGTGCTACCTTGGGAGACCTGGGAGTTCCCTGCACCCAGGTGGGTGAGAGGGACTGGGCTGGGGTAGAGAGGTCAGCGTGTGTATGTGTGTTTTTGGGGATCCTGGGGGGCTGGTGGTGTGTGTCCACAAGCGTGGGGAGCACAGCCAGTCCCTGACATGGGGAGAAGAGGGCAGGGGACCGTAGAGGGGCAATGCCTGTGGGCAGTGCATGGGGAGGATTGCCAGCACTAGGGTTGTCCCTGCCTGACCGATGCTGAGGGTTGGGTGCTGAGTCAGCACAGTTCCCTCACATCTCCCTGGCACGCAGGTTTGGGAGCAGGATGCTGGCAGAGGGGCCAGGATGCCATCCTGGCATCATGGGGATGGGGCCAGTGGGCAGCACAGCTAGGCTGCCTGGCCCCCGGCAAGGGTGGGAGCCGGCTTTCCTCCCTCCTGCACAATGCACTGGTGAATGCAGAACTCTTTGTGTTTTTTATTATTATTAATAATAATTGCTAGTAATATATACCCAGCTTATTTAAAGTGTTCAATAAAAACTGAATGTCCTAGCAACTCCGACTGTTGGCACTGTCTCTTGGATGCACGTCAGATGTGGGCCCAGAAGGTTGCGTGGTCTTGCCTGGGCACTCTGGGGAACTCCTCCAGGACTGCAAACCAGCCTGGCTCAACCCAAGATCTCAACTCCCCTAAAGCACCCATCGCAATTGAGATGCCTTCAGACAAATTCATTTTCATTATTTAGGTTCTTTGGGTTCATGCCCTTGAATCCACAGTTTTTGCTGTGGTGTACAAGAAAACAAAGAGCAGAAAAACTGGGTCTCTTTATTGGTATAAAGTGAGTTTAGCCAGCAGACAAGACAGATGAGTGACACGTGCCCCCTCCAAAAAGCCTGCCTTTAACACCCTTTTCCTCTTCATGCAAGCTTACTCACACAGCAGTTCATCAGCTATATATGGCACACACAACCTTATCATAGACTGAGAGCATTTTCGCCTGGTTGAACATCACTTCCTCTGCTCTCACCTGGCCACAGTGTTACATCAGAGCTGCTTTGCTTAATCTTCACATGTGCACGTGTCTAGCAGCTATTTTAAGTCCTGATGAGTTGTCTTGCAAAGCGTCAGCCTGCTACAAGTGCCTGAGTTAACTTTTGCTTTTGAAAAGCACAATCACATCATGGGACCCTAAGGGTCATTGCTCTACTTTCTAATTAGCGCAAAAAAATCCCCAAATGTCAGCACAGGCAGGGACCAGTTCAGGCTCAGCTTCCCTCCTTGGGTGCTGAGCTTTGCTGAGGCCGCCGAGTGCTGGGTTGTCTGAAAGCCATGGCCAAGCTGCTCCTGCGATGGGGTGAAGAAGAAAACTCCTGCTGTGGGGAGGGGACTGTGTGGGGATGGGGCTGGGCTGTCCCCAGCTCCTGCTCCTGACATGCCACAGCACCACAGCTCTCTCCATGCTGGGTGTGTGGCACGGCTCCAGCGCTGAGTTCCAGAGCTTGATCCATTCTGTAGCTGGTTCTGAGCTCCCCAGTGCCCACAGCTGCTGTGCTCAGGAGGACCCAAAGTGTCCCATGCAGGTGTGGGGTTGTCTATGGAGCCTGTGCCACTCGGCCAGAGCACACCAGCTGGAGGCATCCATGCTGCTGGGCATCGCAGGGAAGGCCCTGGGTGGCCCAGGGGCAGCGGGGTGTGGGAGGGAAGGGGTTGGCTGGAATGGATGGGACATCCTGGGCAGGGACACAGCGAGGTTGGAGCAGAGGCGGTGCAGGGTGCAGGTGCTGCAGGGGGAAGCAGAGGAGGGTGAGGGTGGACGTGAAGGTGAGATGCTGCCCAGCCTCCAACACATGCAATGGGGCTGGGAAAGAACCTTGCAAAGGGTTTTCCCCCATCTCTCCCCTTAGCTGAGCCATCGCTTCAGCTCTTGAGCTACCTCAGACCCAGAACACCCATGGCAGCGAAGGGATGGAGGCAGGGTCCATCCAGCACAGGGAAGTGACTGCATTCCTCTCCCTTTCCATGGGAGAGGAAGTCGATATCCCAGAGGCAGAGCTGCAGGCTCCCTGCCTTCCTCCAGGCACAACCCACAGGGCCCATGTGTCCCTGACTCAGCAGGACTCACCACAGCAGTGCTGGGGCCAGCAGCCATCCTCACTTGAAAGGGAGGCTTGGCCCTGCTGCCTTCTCACAGATCCAGAGGTGCAGGTCACTGGGACCAGTGCACTGCTCGGGTTTGATGCTCCCACGGCTTATTACGGCACAGGTTCCGTTCGATTTTGACTGCCACGGCCTGAATGGGGAAACAAACAACACATCAGGCACTGACATGTTCGTTCTACAAACCCTGCCGAGGCAGCTGCCGCTGCTGACAACTGCCTTTTGTGCACTGGCAGAGGAGGGGTTGGATGCCGCAGTCAAAGGGGGATCTCCCAGTCCTCCACTACTGATTTCACAGGCTGAAGGCTCAGCTGATGCATTCATGCATTTCCCTGGACAGGATGAGAAACACTGTAAAAGGTTTGCAGTGCCTGTGACACCCCTTTAGCCTGCCCCCTCTTATCTTTGCTGCTGGAGTTGTTCATGCCTGCATTGGGGAGAGCCAGGTCCTCCCTGAGGACACAAGGACAACCAGAGGATCTGGCCTGAGCCTGGCTCCGCTCTGGGCACAGCTCCCGTGGCAGGGCTGAGGATGGAGGGCCAGCACCCCAGAACCTGGCCAGACAGGCTTGTTCCTCCCCAGTGCTCTCAGACACTGCAAGAGGAAGCGGCAGTGAGCTGAGGAGGTGGTGCACGTGGCAGGGAGGAGCCCAGGATTCTCCACAGAAGGCTGTGATCTCCCTTTGGAGAGGAATTAAGAAAGTATGTGGGAGGTAGGCATGGTGCTCTAACACCTTGCTTAGGCCCCAGATAAAATTTGGGGGTTCTTCTGTCCACTCTTGCTGGCCCCTGCTTCTCTTGCCCTGCATTTTACCCACCCCCCTGAGTCCTGGCTTTCCATTTGTGTGTCCTCTGAGTACCTCATCACACCTCTGCACCCACCTTCCCTCAGTCCCTGCTGCTCTGATGCTCTTTGCTCCCCAGGGCCTGTGCCTCGAGCTGGGTACTGGTGGTGTTTAAAACCCTTCCTAGAGCCATGCCAGAGGAGGGGAGTTTTGGGAAGAGGCAGTGCTGCCATGTACCTTTCATAAAGGGAGCCATCCACCCAGAACCAAGCCTCAGAGCCTCCCTCGCTGTCTGGGTCCTCTTCCTCCAGCCAGCCATAGTCATACCAGGGAAAACTGCCCTTCTGCAATCCAATCCAGTATGGGACATCTGCATTCTTCAGAAAGGTCTTGAGAAGAAGAAAAAGTGCTTTTCCATGTCTTATTCCATGGCACCCATGTACTGCAGTACTATTTACTTCACAGTAGGGTGATCATCTTCCCAAGGAGTCCCTGGGGCTGGAAGTTCTTGAGCCCTGGTGCCCTGGTCCAGCTTGGGAAGCATCCAGGGGTGCCAGAGCCCTTCTATCCCATGTCAACCACCAGCCATGTGCTCCAGAAAAGAGCCTTGCACTCTCCAATGTTTTGGCAGGACAGGGAACCCCCAGAACCGTGCTAGCCCACCTGGGGACCTCGTGCCTGGACACACCATCCCCTGCCCTCAGCTCCCCCAGCACCCTACCGGCACAGTCCAACGACTCCAGGATTTGGTGACCAGGAGCTGAGAATATGTCTTCTCACACTCATCTCTGCTGTCTTCCCACGTCTTCTTCTCCGAGGAGATGAAGAGGCACTTGCCCCTGTACAGCAGCCAGCCCGAAGGGCAGCAATCTGTGGGGGTAGGGGCACAGCTGAGGGGCTTGCTCAGCCACAGATGCCCTGGGGGGTGACAAGGAACAGCCCCACACCTTCCCAGCAGGCATCACAAGCCCAGTGTCTGCTTCAGCACTGCTTCAGCTCTTGGACCACTCTGTCCCTGCCTTGGGGTCAAAAAAGCCAGCACTTGGCCCTTGGCACCTGCTGAGCAGTGCCAGTGCTGGAGCACCCCCTCCCTGCTCCATCAGCACCTTACCTATGGCTGTGCAGGAGCGCAGGAGGGCCACGGTGCTCTCGCTGCTGTTGAGCCTCCCCTGCACCTCCTGCATCTCCCTCTCTGTCCTGCCCAGCACCCCCGTGACGCGGCGCAGCTCCAGGCTCAGCCTGTCCAGCTCCAGCTGGCTGATGTTGCCCTCGTGCCACGCGCGCTGCAGCTCCGCTCTGGCCCACGCCAGCTCCAGCTGGGTCTGCTCCAGGCTCTGCTCCTGCGCCCTCAGCTCCTGTGACAGGCGGCCCTGCTCGGCCTTGTGCTCACGGGAGGAGTCCTGCAGGCTGCGGGTGACCTGCCAGTCTGGGGACAGAGTGGGGTGAGCTGGGACACGAGCATGGGGCAGATCGGATGTGGGACTGACGCTGCTTAAGGCAAGTGGGACGGGCAGGGTAAGGCAGGGGATTATCCACCATGAATGGGAAAGGTGGCAGGGAAGGATGCATCAGGGAAGTGCACGGCTAAGAGTTGGGTAGGAACTTGCAGGGAGAGCAGGACAAGGCAGGATGGGCATAGGAGCAGACACAGCAGGTGAAGGGCAGGGAGGGTACAGCAATATGAGGCTGGACAGTGCCAGGATGGGAAAGAAGGAGCAGAAATTGAAAGTAAGGTGAGGAAGAGGGATGATGAGAGGCAAAGGCGGTGTGAGGGACGTGCGAGGGATACAGGCCAGCTTGTGGCAGACAGCATAGGGACTCAGCAGTGAGTGTGCATGAGCATGCCTCCATTCACCCACAGTGCCCACCCCAGACAGATGCCCCTCAACCCAACCCAACCCAGGGAGTGTGATGCTCACATTCCCAGCCCTAGATGCTCACAGTCCCGCAACTCACAGCAAGTCCCCAGGGCCACGGTGGCCACCAGCAGCAGGCAAGTTGTCAGCAGCCCCACAGGGATGCACCACCGACGGGACCAGCACCCTGCACGACACAACAGACATCACCCGAGGAGCTGGAAAACCCCTCGCAGCCCCCAGACCTCCCTCCTGGATACAAGCAGGAGAGTGGTGGCATGACAGCACAGGTGTGGGTGATGGGAGTAGGAGGACCCCAAAACACCACCCATGACCCAGCCCAGAACTACCCTGGGTCTGCTGGAATGCAGCTGGATGCTCACCTGGGCTGGGCTCTCCATCTCCATCCCCATCCTGCCCTGCCAGTGCTGGCTGGCTGCTCTCGTAGGGGCTCTCTGCCTCGTTCATGCTGAAGGCTGTGGGAGGAAGACAGGGGAGAGCAGCTGAGGCCGAGGGGCTGGGCACGGCAGGGACAGCGTGGTGGGGCCTGTGGGCTCTCACCTGCCTCCAGTGCCTGGCTGGCTGTGCTCCGGCCTCCCATCACCTTGGCAAACCTCAGGTCAGCATAAAGCTGGGCCATGTGGGTAACGCTGGGCGAGCCCTGAGCCCACTCTGCCCTGGGGATGCCTCTCTGAGATGTCCCCTTTGCTCCCGGTGACTGCGCCGTCCCTCAGAGGTGCAAAGGAGAAGTGCAGCCAGCATCTGCAGAAGCAGAAGTTTGCTCTGCACTCTAGCAGATGGGACTAGTGAGGCACGGCTGCGGGGACCAGCACCCTCTCATTGGTCCCAGAAACACCAGCCCGTCCCCTCCCACGCCCTAAAAGTTCTCATGGTCGCCCTAGGCAGGGGCAGGGTGAGGGCAGCACAGCCAGGTATCACTGCAGGGGCACAGCAAAGGATGGACCCAAATCTGGGGACTGCGGGGCAGAGCAGGGCAATCCTGAAAACAGGAGAAAATTGCCTGCGTGGACAGCTCTGTGGAGCGTTGGAGATCTTCACAGACTGAGATTTCCCCTCCCAGCCTCTGAGAGTGGGAATTTCCCCATGATGTATTTTGTTCCACTACCTCTCATGCTCTCCCTGGTCCCTGCCAAAGAAGACCCCAGCTTTGGCATTGCTCCAAAACAGCCCTGGAGAACTACAAAAACCACTGATGTCCCCTTTGCCTTCCCTTCCCAAGACCACAATCCCAGCATTCACAACACCTTCTTCGTCCCTCCAAACACCGTCTTGGTCCCTCCAGGCCCTCAGTGTCTCAGAGGTCTCTACTGAACTGCATCCAGAGAAGGGTGGGTTTCAGAAGGGGTGCCCCCAAACTCTCCCACTGCTTCCCATTGCCTCCCACTGCCTCCCACTCCATTCCACTGCCTTGCCATTGCCTCCCACTGTCTCTCAGATGGCCAGATGGGCACATCTGAACACAGCCAGTCCCTGGGACAGCACTGGAGGTGCACAGTGGTGCTGGGGGAGCACAGTGTTACATAGCCACTGTCCATCATCTCTGCAGGACCACGGGAAGTTCTTCCTCAGTGGAGAAATCAAAAAATCAATGCCAGATTTAAAGGGGACGGGAAGGAGGTTTAGAAAACTAAAAGTTGGGCAGCCTCTACTCAACCTCCTGGAAGAAAATGGAGCATGTCCACCTGGGCGTGCAGGGGCCCAGACCCAGGGAGGACATGCAGGGAAAGGCCAGTGGGATTTACTGGGTGACTGCTCAGTGTGCCTTCTACTGCTTGGAAGCACTGGCATGGGGATGAGGGGAGAGAACGGGGCCATTTATCATGACACTTTGGTGTCTGGGATGTGGTTTTCCATAGTGTATTTGGTGGCAGAGTGGAGAGATGTGGCCTTGACGAGAGGAGAAGTGAAAGCTCATGCTGCAGTGTGGGAGTCTCTTTTAGGCAATAGAGCAGTGATGCTCAGATCCTGCAGCAGAGCACCAAGAAGAGAGAAATTCCATCCTGGATGGAGTCAGCAGCAGAGTGACCTGTTCCCAGCTGGAAGCCAGACCTGCTCTGCCCTGCCCTAGGAAATCTGGTGGATTCTCTGTAGGCAGAGCCCTGCAGCTGTGCCCCACTCTCCAGCCCCAAGCTGCACCACCCCAGTGCCATCCCAGGGGACCCTGAGCTGTTTCGGGGAGCGGAGGGGGAGCCCAACAGTGGTGCCTGGCCAATGGCAGGATGCCGCTGCCGTGGCCGTACTTTCCCTTCCGTCACTCCTCGCCACACTTCTGCTTCTGCAGCAGCCATCTGCGTGTTCATTTGAAGCAGAGCAGAGCCCGCAGGGCCACCCGGGGCATGGCCCAGAGTGTGGTCTATGCCGACCTGAAGTTCGTGGCACGGCCGCCGTCCACCGCGCCCGACGACGATGACAGTCCCTACGAGAACGTGTCACCGCTGGGGCTGGTGACAGCAGAGCCCAGCCCAGGTGGGGACACAGGGAGCAGCCGCGGGGATGCAGGGCACCAGGGGGATGCCCACGGGTGATGCCGCTGGTGCTCCTCTCTTGCAGGGCGCTGGACCCGGCCATGGCGCGTCCCCACAGTGCTGCTGGTAGCCAGCCTGCTCCTGCTGCTGCTGCTGCTGGTGGCCGTGGTGGCCCTGGGCGTTTGCCGTGAGTCGGTGGCTGCCGGGGGTGGGGGCAGCCGGGAGGGCATTGGGCCGGGAGAAGGGCTGGCTGCAGGGGCTGCCAGGGAGAAGGCCTGGGCTGGGCTCCGGGGCTCCTGCATGGCCTGCACAAGCTGCCCCACACTGCCTTTGCCTTTCTCACTGCCTACCACTATCTCCCCTTGGCTCCCCTAGTCTCTTCCATTCCCTTCCATTGCCTTTCCATTGCCTTCCCACCACCGCCCACCCCTTCCCATGGTCTTGCCTCTGTCTTCCCACTGCCTGCCAATCCCTCCCACTGCCTCCCACTCCCTGTCACTTCCTCCCATGGTCTTCTCACCGCCCAGCCACTGCCATCTCACTGCCTTCTGCTGCTTCCCAATCTCTCCCACTGCCTCCCACCCTCTATCACTGCTTCCCATTTCCTCCCACTGTCTTCCCACTGCCTCCCATTGCCAACCATTGCCTCCCATTTCTTCCCACTGCCTCCTACTCCCTCCCATTGCCTCCTAATCCCTCTGACCGCCTTCCCATCACTACCTCCTGTTTCCTCCCACTGACTTCCCACTGTCTTACATTGCCTCCCACTTCCTTCCACTTCCTCCCGTTGCCTCACGTTGCCTCCCCATTTTATTCCCACCACCTCCTGCTGACTTCCCTGTGCTTCCCATTGCCTCCCTTTTCCTTCCCATTTTCTTCCCACTGCTTCCCATTGCCTCCCACTGCCCTCCAAACCCTCCTACTGCTTCCCATTGCCTCCCATTCCCTTCCACTGTGTTCCCATTGCCCCTCACTCCCTCCCACTGCCCTCCAAACCCTCCTACTGCTTCCAATTGCCTCCCACTGCATCCCACTCCCTTCCACTGCCTTCCCATTGCCTCCCGCTCCCTTCCACTGCCTTCCACTGCCTTCTCATCAACTCTCCTTGTCTTCCCACTGTCTCTTGCTGCCTTCCAATGTCTCCCCTCCACCTGCCACCCCTGGGGTTTCCATTCCCTTCCCACTGGCACCCCCAGGACAATCTCCACCCACAGCCAGATACTCTTATCCCACTCTCCCTTGCCAGAGGCATGCCCCAGGCAGGGCCCCATGCTCGTGTCCCAGCTCACCCCACCCTGTCCCCAGACTGGCAGGTCACCCGCAGCCTGCAGGACTCCTCCCGTGAGCACAAGGCCGAGCAGGGCCGCCTGTCACAGGAGCTGAGGGCGCAGGAGCAGAGCCTGGAGCAGACCCAGCTGGAGCTGGCGTGGGCCAGAGCGGAGCTGCAGCGCGCGTGGCACGAGGGCAACATCAGCCAGCTGGAGCTGGACAGGCTGAGCCTGGAGCTGCGCCGCATCACGGGGGTGCTGGGCAGGACAGAGAGGGAGATGCAGGAGGTGCAGGGGAGGCTCAACAGCAGCGAGAGGGCCGTGAGCAGCCTGCGTGCCTGCGTGAACACAGGTAGAGCGTGACGGGGCTGGGGCACAGGTGATGCTGCTGCTACTGAGGAGATGCGGGGGCTGAGTTCCCCAAGCATCCATGGAAGGATGAACACCTGAGCTGTGCCTCTGCCCCCAGATTGCTGCCCTTCAGGGGGCTGGGTACTCTTCAAGAGCAAGTGCCTCTTCATCTCGGTGAAAAACAAGACCTGGGAGCAGAGCAGGGACGACTGTGAAAGGAGATCTGCTCAGCTGCTGGTCCAGGATGAGTGGTCACCATGGACAGTGCCGGTATGGAGCAGGGGGGCTGTGGTACCCCAGGAGGGTTGTCGAAAGGAAGGGGACCAGGACACCAGTTGGTTCATCACAGGCCCTTCAGGTCCAGTCCGGTCCCAGACCCTCAGGTCTTTCTGGTCCAGTTTATTGAAAAAAAAGTATCAAACACTTATACAGCAAATAATAAGCTTATGAATATTCTGTAAGCCAAGCAATCTATTGGTTAAACTATAGCATTAACTCATCCTCATTCCTTAGGTATCTCTCTTTTCTCATGTCTCTTTCAGTGTTTGTTATTATACCACAGCTAGGCCCAAGGACACTGTTATCTGTGCAGGTGCAGGACTTGGAATTAGCCATGGTTTTGTACTTTTCCAGTCCTTATCAGCTAAATTCCCAACAGAGGGTGGGTGCTGGGCAGACCCCCAGCTGCAGCACTATCTGTGGAGCTGCCAGGGTGGCACCATGAGCCCCAGGGTGGCACCATGAGCCCCAGGTTGCCATCCTGGCAGTCTGATGGGAGAAGCACAGCCAGCCCTGGGGCTCCTGGGCACCTGGCAAGTGCTGGTCATGAAGCAGGTGGCTGACAGCTTCTCTCCCCCCTAGTATTTTGTGCATGCATCTAAGGCGTACTACTGGATTGGAGGAAAACCTCCTTATGTGGCAAGGAGATCTATGTGGATGGAGAGCAAACATCCCTCGTAAGTGCAAGAATCCTTGGCACAAGCCCCTGCCCTTTGGCCATGATAGAAAGGTGCTGTTTTGCCCCTGTGACACCCCAAAAGGGTTGACGGGGTCCCATGAGCAGTGCCCCAAGGGAGGGGGATGAGGGTAGAGCCAAGCTCTGGGGTGCAGTGCCAAATATCCAAGTGGCAGAGAAGAAGAGCAGGAGGAGGAATGTCACACTTCCTCAGGCTGCTCTCTGTGCCAGGTGCCTTGCCTGCCCCAGCAGCACTGGGATCTATGGGAAGCGGTGTCCATGGTGAGGAGGTTGTCACTGCTGGCCTGAGACGTGCCTTCTTTCCTAGGAAACGCCATTCTCCAGACTGCTGGTCACTAGTCCTTGGGGAAATGTGGAATCAGCCATGTAACAAACCCTACCCGTGGATCTGCGAGAAATCCCCAAATCTGAGCCGTGTGCCTGAGCCTCGTCCTCTTTTTCTGGGCGAGGACTGACTGCTGCCACCCTGGCTCCATCCCTGGAGTCAGGACCAGGAGCTGGGTGTGCACCCTGGGATCCTGCCCCCGGGGCACGCTTTGCCTCAATTGCATTGCAAAACTGCTGGGGAAAACTGTCTCTATTTCAAAGCAAGGGTTATGGAAAACAGTCCTTATTCCCCTCTCCCACACTCAAGCAAACACATGTTATACTGCTTTGTACTGTGCCACTGCATGTCCCTGTGTGCCCTGGCCAATGCAGCTCCAGTGCAGAGACCAGCTCTCACCTTCTTTGCTACCCCAAGGCTGCCTGAGTGCAGGATCTGCCTTTTGCATATTTTTGACACACTGATGTCCTCAACCTGTCCATTTTGGGGAGACCTGTGGATTTACAGCCCGTCCCTTCTCTCAGCATTGACAGCTCTTGTCCTCCCCTTTCTTCTGCCTTCATCACCTGCCCATGGGTCCTGCCTGGAAAGGTTGCTGGCAGTGGGGCCATCAGCATGAGAAAATGCTGGAAAGCCAGAGACCATTTAGGGAGTGGAGAAGTGCTGGGGAGCTTTGAGAATGTGGTGGATGAATGAGGAAACTCTGAAACCATGGAGGAAAAAGAGGGCAATGAAGAGCCCTAAGACCATGGGAGGTGAATGTGTGAATCCTGAAACCATGGAAAGAAAGGGAGCACAGTGGAACTGCAAATGAAGATGGTTCTGAAAAATGGAGGTGCACTGATAAGACAGTGGGAGAGAGGAAGAGCACTAGGGAGACTTGGGAACATGGGGAAAAAGGGAGACCCCTCCCACCAAGGGGGAAAGATCCCTAAGAATGTGGCTGGACCTTATCTGCCAAAGGAGGGTGACGAGAGACCCCAGTCCAGGACCCAGGGTGACCCCCCCCTGCCTCAGCCAGGGTTTCTGCAAACAGGGGAATGTGTTGGCAACCATTTTGCTAAGCTAGACCTGCGACAGCTGGCACAGCTTCACCACAAGTCCTGCCCAACCAACCCAGTGCCCTTCTATAATGGAGTGATTGCACCAGTGAACAAGGGAAGGGCTGCACGTGGCATCTGTCTGACTTCTGTAAAGCCTCCAACACAGTCCTCCTCTAAATTTGAAATTAATGGATTCAATGGGTGAACTGTGCAGTGGAAGAGGTTGGACAGCTTCATCCAGAAGATAGTGCTCAATGGCTCCGTGTCCTCACTGGACACTGGTGATGATGATGGTCCTCAGGGATTCACCTTGGGACCAATGTTATTCAGTACTTTTGTCAACAATGTGAACAGTGGGATCAACTGCACCCTCACCAAGTTTGCAGATGACACCAAGCTGAGGTGTTTGACACACCTGAAGGGCAGGATGCCATCCAGAGGGACCCGGACAAGCTCAAGGAGTGGCCCATGGGAACACCATGGGGTTTAACAAGGCCAAGTGCTGGTGCTGCCCCTGGGCTGGGACAGCCCCTGGTACCAGCCCAGGCTGGGCATGAGCAGCCCCAGAGCAGCCGTGCCCAGAAGGGCTTGGGGGTGCTGTGGGTGAGAGGCTGCACATGGCCCAGCCATGGCACTCCCAGCCCAGAGAGCCAAACGTGTCCTGGGCTGCACCCAGAGCCCCATGGGCAGCAGGGCAGGGAGGGGATTCTGCCCCTCTGCTCTGCTCTGCTGAGACCCACCTGGAGCACTGCATCCAGCCCTGGGCTCCCAGCACAGGAACCACAGGGACCTGCTGGAGCCAGCACAGAGGAGCCACCAAGGTGATCAGGGGGATGGAGCAGCTCTGCTGTGAGGAGAATTGGGATTGTTCAGCCTGGAGAAGAAAAGGCTTCAGGGAAAACTTACTGTGGCTTTCCACTACCAAAAATGGCTACAAGAAATCTGGAGAGAGACTTTACACAAGGGCTTTTAGCAAGAGCACAAGGGGAAATGGCTTCAGACTGAGAGGGCAGTTCCTAGGAAAGCTTCCACAGAAGGAGGCTGGTGGAGCCAGCCCAATGGCATGGCAAGGCTGGGACAGGACTGCAGGTCCCCTACAGTCTCAGCTATCATGCAAAACAAAGATTGTTGTGTCTGGCTTGTCCTGCAGAGTCCAGATATCCTCCCTGCTCCCAAAGCCCTGAGTTCCAGCCCCCACTGCCCACTCCAAGGACACACTGCAGCCCCCATCCTTTCCTCTGGTCCATGCTTTCCCTGGCCTGGTTCAGCACGGCTGCTTACTTGCTCATCTTGAAATGTGGCTTCACCTTTCTTCCCAGCTGCAGGATTTGCACTTTTACACACTCCAGTATCAGCAGGCTCCCACAAAACCATTTCCCCAGGCCTCTCTGTACCCAGTCCTGCCCTCCTGCCCACATTACTGGTGTGGTAATGCCCCCCAGCTGCCTGAGCTACCCCCTACCCTCCATCCAGTACACTGATGAAGGCTCCAAGGAGCACAAACCCCAGGATCAACCCTTCAGCAACTGCATTCAGGGGAACAGGGATGTTTCTGACATCCCCTGCAGCCCTCACACCATTCAGGTTTTCCACCCAAGCTCTTCTCCTCTACTCCTGCTCTCATATATCCCCACTTTGCCAGTGAGGAGACCATGGGAAACCAAGTGCCAGACCTGAAAGGTTCATGATAAATGTCTCCCATTGCTCTCCTCTTATGCACAGCCCATTGCTGCCACAGCAGCAGGCAGGTTCACACAGGCATTGCCTGCCGTTGGTAAATCCTGCCTGGATTCCCCATCCACACTGGATGGTCACATGCCCAGGAGCTGTGCTGCATCTCCTTCCTGGCATGGAGGCAGGACAACAAAGCTCAGCCCAGGACAGGAGATGTAGGGATAAGAAAGGGCAAGGCAGGAGCCAGCAGCAAATAGTGACAGAGGCAAGGGGCAGCCAGGAAAACTAACAGAGTCCTCAAAGGGACTCAGTGGCAGCATCTTACCGACCTTCACCAAGCCCCCCCCGCCGTGGAAGGCAGCAGAGTGGGCTGGAAGGCTGGTACAGATGTCCCTCGTTGAGGAACACCTCTGCTCCAGGCAGCTGGGCCTGCAAGGCACAGGCAGAGATGCAGATGGAAAAGCAGACTGAGCTCAGGTGGGAGCCCGAGGCAAGAGGCTGTGAGCTGCCAGCCTGGGGATAGCAAAGGGCAGGAGGACGAGAGGTGCCAGACGGATACACGGACACTGAGAGACACTTCAGGAGGCAGGAACTGCTGACCTTTTGCATAATGAAGGAGCAGGATGATGAAAGCAAGGTGGATAGACACAGAGAGGGGGCAGGAGAAGAGAGGAAGAGGAGCAAGGCTTGAGCACAAGCAGACATTGAGGGGATAAAAGCCCAGGTGTTCCTTTGTTGGGTACCCCTCCTCAGAGGAACCATTTTGAGCTGTTTCTGTGTTACTGTGCTGTGAATAAATGGCTTTGTGGAACGAGACATCTGAGACTCTTCCATGGGAAGCCTGTGACAAGCTGAGTGCCCATGGGCAATGGGCACACCCCACGATCCCACTACCATCACCCAGTGCCCACCCTGTGCTGGGACATCCCTGTGGCAGTGAGCACAGCTGGGTTCCACCCAGCCTGGCCACGGTCAGCACCAGCCCAGCAGCAGGATCTTGCAGTGAATGTCACTGGCACCTCACTGGGGTGTGCAGGGCACAGGGGGCAGGAGCAGAGCCTCAGCACACTGCAGGTCAGTGTGGGTCCCACTCTGGGCCATGCAGGCAGCTCAGCAGCAGCAGCCCAGGAAGGAACCCACCCCTGTCCTTCTCCATTGTGGTCAGGGGACAGAGTGTGGCTGAGACCATACTGCGTGCAGACACATCTTCGTATCCACAAAAGCAGAAGTAGTTGCTTTATTTGCAAAAAAGTCTTTTTTTTTCCTCCATATATTCTCATTTTAGGGGTTGGGGAGTGAATGACCTCCCTCCTGCTCAGCTTGCTCTGTGTTGTGAAGGGCCCAAGCCCCTAGGTACAGAGCTACCCTTCCCCATGCACCTCCCAGTGCTGCTCAGGCTGCCCTGGCTGTGGGTTTGGTATTTTGCATGTGCTGGGAGAGAGTCCCAGCAAGGTCTGTCCCAGAACTTCAGGCTGCTGGAAAAACCCAGTGGTCTACACCAAAACCAGAACAGCCTCTAGGACCAAACAACTCCAAATCAAGCCCTAGCAGGTCTTTCAGGCCCTCTGAAACCTCTTCAGACTGGGCAGGCCCCAGCAAACAAGTGCTGCCCAGCCCGAGTCCTCCTTGGGATGCAGAGGCAAAGCGTCACCTCTCAGCAGCATGACCCAGGAAGCAAAAGCCCCAGAAACCAGCAGGATCAGAAAGCCCAGAGCCTTCATGGGACCTGTGCCAGCCTGCACGGGAGCTGCTGCTGGACGCTGGGAATGGGAATGCTTGGATTCCTGCTGGCTCAATGCTGGCTCCTGGCCACAGGACACAATTTCCCACTTGTGAGTGATGCCACCGAGTCTGAGAGCTGGAGGATGCACCTCCATCCTCCCACACACACACCCCAAAGCCAGCTGCAGTTATCAGCAGAGTTTATTGGCAAAGTGCAGAGTTCTGGAGGGTAAAGAAGTCTGTGCCAGGAAGCAGCGGAGCCTGAGAATGCCCATGCCCTGGGATCAGGCAGGGAACGGGGTGGTGGCACAGGCTGGGGGTCACCCTGGCCATCAGGGCCTCACGCAGCTGTAGGTGGTGTTTCCCCAGAGGAAGGCAGGAGGCGAGGACTGGAGCCACTGCACGGTGGCTGCACTCTGCTTGCAGACCCATCTGAGGGCGTCTGTGCAGGCACCACCTAAAAAGTCCCAAGCCTGACACCCTGCCACAAGCCTGGAAGGACCTGGTGTAGCGCTGGACTGGCAAGATCCTGCAAGGGAGAGAGTGGGCTGAGATAGGATGGGCAGGAGGAACCAAGGCAGTCCCATCAGCAGCTCCCACAGCCAGGGACCAGACATAGCACAGGGATGCTGTGGGAGCAAAGTTCATCCTCCCCAAGGGGCACAGTCTCCCACCAGCCTCTTCCCAATTAGGCCACATGCCCTGATGTCCCCAGCCCCATCTCTCACAAAGTACCCCCAGGTCAGTCCTAGCAGGGCTGAGCACTGACCAAACTGGGACCCTGCTCTTGCAGAATCCCCTGCAGACCCAGGCAGAGTGTGGGCACCAGGGTCAGGCCCCTGCTAAAAACGCCCCTTCCCTAAAATTCCCCAATGCAGTCCTGGGAAGAAAAGAGGTGGCCAAAATCTGGATTACATCCCTGCAAGCCTGTCCCCACCACCACCCTGAGACCTGCTGATGGACCTTCGGCACACCTGGCTGGGAACAAGCTGATAGCCTCACCATTCCAGCGTGGTGCCATCCAGCCACTTCCAGTCAGACCTGAAGCCATCCTGCTTCAGCCCCACGTGGAAGGCGTCCATGTTAGCTGTGCGCACCAGGAACGCCTAGCACAGGAGAGGACCCACGTGAGCCCTGGGGGACACCCAGCCCAGCCACAGGTCAGAGATGGGGCTGTGCTGTGTGGGCATTGCCAGCGCCCTGCCTGGAGTCTGTGCCAGGCTTTGGGCACATGGGCTGGAAAGCTGAGACAATGCTGTGCCTGCGGAGGGACCGTGAGGTGGCCACCAGGACAGCCCAGTGCTCACAGGGAGCTGGCAGGGTGCACTCACCAGGGTGCTGTTGGCTTGGATGGTGACCAGCTGTGCCCCTCAGGAGCAGCAGTCCTCTCTGCTCTGCTCCCAGCTCTTTCTGGCAGAGGAGAAGTAGTAGCACTGCCCCGCATCCCAGAGCCAGCCAACCGGGCAAAACTGGCACTGCCCTGCACACCAGAAACACCCAGACGGGGTGGGACAGCTGGCCAGGACTGCTGTCACCAGCCCCAAGGACCAGGAGAGTGACAGTGGGCAGTCAGGGCACCGACCAACCCATCCTGTCCACATGTCTGCCCCACGGACGCCACTCTGCATTTGCCCTCGTTTGTGAGCCCAGCTCCAGCTTTCCAGCCCCAGAGCCCTGGGAAGAGGGGCTAGCTACAGGATCATGCTGGAATTGAGCAGGGAGCTGCAGGTTAGGGAAGTGATACAAACACAGTTTACAAAGTGCTGGGGGCTCAGATAAGGTTTCAGCTGTACCAGAAGCTGATGTCATCGGGCACAGGGATGTTGGTGGCATCCATGGGCTGGTGCTGGTGTTGTGTCCAGGTGACACTGAGCTGTCTGGGGTCATCTCTTCTAAACGGGCCTCAGCAGTTCAGCCTGTTCAGCAGTGCTGGAGCAGGCTGCACACCACAAGCTGAGGATTGGGCAGTAAAGTTGAAGGAATATGTAAGGAGAGAGCTCAGGGAAACATCCTCGAGTAGGGACAGATTCGGTTGCTTGAAAGCAGCAGTAAGGCCCTCTCCAAACCTTACCCAGGAGCCCACCAGGCTCTCTTACCTCCCAGTGTCTGTTTCCCATAGCTGGGGCTCTCCTCCATTCTCCAGAGACCGTCTGTGCAGCTTCTCTGTTGTTGCACTAAATCTGCAGCAGAAGAGCACCTCTGTGTCCTAGCACCTCTGGGCTCCTGCTGCCAGCAGCACCCAGTGTCCTGCCCCACAGGACAGCCTCGTGGCTGTGGGTGAGATGTCCCCTGATTTAGCTACACCAAGCTAAGGTCCTTGCAGATTTTGCTGTGCCTGGGAGCCCTGCACACAGCAGGCCTTCGGGGAAAGTGCTGCTCTCTTTCAGTATCAGTGCCCTCCCTCCCACCTCTCATTGCTACCTGATGGAGTGGCTTTCCCCAAGCCCATGCTGTCGCCCCAGCTTCCTTTTCCAGCCACGTAGGTGGTGTCTTGTCTCACCAGTTCTCCAGCTTGCCCCAGAGCCCACAATGATGCCCTCAGCCCCAATCAGAAGCACCCAGCTCCACGGGGAAGCCACAGCTCATCCTGCTGGGACACAAGGGCTGTGGTGCCAGCCTCGACCCCAGGGCCCCCTCTGCAGAGATCTGGGTACTGCGTGGCTGGTACTTACACTGGAAACTCAGGCTGACAAGGATGATCTGTGCCAGCAGGAGTGTCAGGGAGAGGAGACCCAGGCTGAGGGCTGCCCAGCAGAAGGGCAGGCGCACTCGCTGCTGGGGGCAGCCAGCAGTGGGAATGGCTGCTGGCTCAAACATGCAGCCAGGGCTGGGCTAAGCAGACACGCCAGGGAGTTGTAAAGGACATTAAAGTCATGTCCTTCCAAGCCCCTGCCACGTCCCCAGCCAACCTCCACTAGACCAGGTTGTTCAGAGCCCCTTCCAACCTGACTTTGGACACTTCCAGGGATGGGGCATGGACAGTAAGGCCACGGGGTGTTTCCTTACAAGCCCCGGTTTTTGCATGTGGCTGCAGCTGCATCTCAGCCCTGGAAAATGGGGGGTCGTTGTGGTGCTCCTTCCCCCGCCTCAGCCCCCAGGGCTGCCGTGACGGCCCCCGT